GCCTAAATTGATTAATTCAATGTTGTGCAGCCCTGTTAGACTGTATGCAGTTGTGCCAGGAGTAGGTTTAGTGCAGTTTCCCAAAGGCACATGTCAGCTCTTAGAATGAACATTAAAATATCTCTTACCTTGGTTGTCCTCGTCCATGCTGGTAACCCTTTGATGGAGAGACCTTCCAAAAGCTGGCTGAAACTTCCGTGGCTTGAAACGCCAATGATTTATAACGAATATCGGTCCCAATTTCTAGGACGCATCTGGTGCACAGGTTGTCTCATGCGCAGGGTCCTCTTCTGAGCGTTGCGGCCATTTACGCATCGGTCCTCTGTCACCACGTCTCCTCTACAAGCAGCTCTAGCGGTCTCTCTCTCTCTCTCACACACACACACTCTCTCTCTCTCTTTCTCTCCCCCCCCTCTCTCTCTCTCTGTCTCTCTCTGTCTCTCTCGCGCGCACACACTGGTCCTTTAGATCTGTGTTTTCGTCATCCTCTAAATACGCCTTCTCCACTAGAGCTGAGAGTAGTTGACGCTGCTACGTCAAGTCAACATCACTCTCAACACCCTCCCGGAAACGAGTATCTCGCCATCAGAATAAAAACAGAGGTGCCAGTGGAAAAATAGGGCCGCGTGACTTTACAGGATTTTGTTTTGAAAAGGAATTGCGTCAGAATCAGTTTGTTTGACTTGACAGTCTTCGTTTCAGTTCAATTCCATCTTCAGCATCCATCACTCTATCCAGCATGTGTCACGTGATTTTTCCAGGAGTATTATTGCAGGATTTATTTATTATTATTATTGGTTTTAATTACAATACGGCCTAATATTAAGCCTAAAGGTCATGACTATGTTAATTTATTAAATACTTAAGATTTTTCTAAATTTGCTTTATTTGGTATTATTACATAGGCCTATTATTTAATATGACCTATGTATCATTAAGATAAAATTCTAGGCCTAATATTGTAAGCAGAATTATATTGGAATTGAAACAGTTTTGTTTGATTTACATAAGCCTGTCTAAAATAAATAAATATACTAGTAAGTGCAGCACAGGTCACCATACAGGTGGGTCCACATTACAATACAGGGACCATTTTGGACTAATTTAAACTACATAAGCAGAGCAGGGTTAGACCTATAACTGTTCACACGCTGAATGAAAGTAGGTTGTAGGGCTTGTTTCTTAGCACACGTGGTTTCAATTATAGCATTCCTGTTTCTTCTGAGAAAGAGGGGGGGTCTCACTTCCTGTATTTGATAACCTACATCACTGGTTAATATACAGTTTTATCATATTTGTATTGGACCAATGACACAAGGAGCTATAATAATAAGCATGCAACTTTGGCTAGAAAGTTTTCCAATGTACTATTTTATTTTATCTTTACTCATATAATAATGCATTAATTTCTGCATGATTCATTTATACTCAGTGATACTGTAGCCACAGCCGGAAATATGGGTGCCAGTCTGGGCCACTGCTGCTCTTGGGTGTTGGGAGAAGATACACGAAATTGTGCATGTTTTGTGAGTTTTACCTACTCATGACATGATGCAAAGTAGCACACATGGCTAATTAGAATACTATTTGTGGTACAGACAGGAATTAGGTCAAATGCATAGTATTTGGTAGAACCTCACTCTACTTTTTATAAATATTACACTGCAGCAGTTTTATTTTCAAGATAAAATGAACACACATAGGACAGAACAGTGGTCAGTGCCTTTCACATGAACAGCACCTCACATCATTAAAATAACAGGTGGTCATCATGTTATATAATTATAGTGTAGTGTAGTATTAATATCAACTGCAGCTTTTCTCTAATGAACAAATACAGCCAACTGGAAAAGTCTTATTAGCCACGAGAGGGACAAACTCCAACAGTCCATGGCAAGAGGTGAACACAGGGGCACTGTGATTGTCTGTGGGTGACTGGCCCCAGGGAACCCCATGTCTGCCAAAGCATGATGGGATGCGTCTGTAAGACTCCTGACCGACTTCACGTGACCTGATTGGGCAGTCACAGCGCTCCATATCAGTCACCCCCACAGTGCCCCCAGGTAGAGTCCACCTTTAATTACAGATCCAGACACAAAGACCATGAGTTTTTCTCATGCTAGCTGAAGCAAAAGAATATTTTATTCTGTCAGTGGACTTTCTCCACTCATCCTTCTGACAGGATACTGGTAAGCCATTGTCTTATGTCTGTCTGAAAGAACTACACCAAAACTAACACTCTTTAACTATTTACAGTAAATAGTGTTTGTTACTCAGTTCACAAAAACAATCGTATGTGTGAACTGTCACAATAGTAATATTTTGCACGGTTTAGCTGATTAAAATACCCTTAGGTAGGAAATTTGTCGAATAAAATCTTTTTTTTTTTTTTATATTAAACACAACAAAACACTAGAGCATCTGAAAAGTGATGCATGCGAATCTCTTCTATGTGATAAAATGGGGGATTGTTCTCAATGATTTAAAATTAAATTATTAACCTCAGCAATCTCTAAAAAGTAAAATAAATACAACATTCATGATGCTTCCTGTTACAGAGGATGGTGTGATTTTTGTGTAAGTGATGTGTATGTCCAAAAGGTCAAAGGAAGCAGAGTCTTCGACAGGATTTCCTCCTGACTTCCAGCCCTGTGCCCCCAGTGTAAGCCCACTTTCCTCTGTGCTGGATCCAACACTCACAGTCTTTATGCATGGACAAAGACAGCACTGTAAATGGCCAACCAGTGCATCCTGAGAGGCCCTCTGTTACTACTGTATAAAATCTGGTATTTTCAAATATCCTTTTTACAGCTTGATGTTGTTGTGCAGCATTAATACATCATAAAAGATGGTTAGATGGTTGGAAGTTATTACTTCAAAATAATAACAAAATTACAGAGCAGGTAACTTTCTGGAGGTGGCATGCCCCCTGCATGATTACATGGAAATATTGTGGAAGATAACAGCCAGGAACAGCATTTCCATGGAGACAAGCAGGCCAAAACTGTGGAGATGGAAACCCACTCACTGTACTGTTTGTTTGAAAAGTTTTATACTGCGGCTTTAAGTGTGTGTAAAAGGTACAAAGGTTTCAAAATCAGCAAAATCAAACATTGCCTGTTAATTCAATATGTGGCAAAGGTTGGACAATAATTGCTGTTTTGATTAATTTGAGAAATGCTCTTTGACCATCAGTTTATTTGCTGTAATAGAGAAATAGCAACTTGCCTGCTTGCTTAAATCCCACTCATTTCTCATTCATCCCTTCCCCCCTTTTTCTTCCCTTCTGCTTTGATTCTGTTTTTGAGGTCAGCAGCATCGAGCTCATCATCTCATTCTCTTTCAACACGCTGCTTGTGCTCAGCAGTCTCTAAACTAAAGGTGCACCACAGGTTAACTTAAAGCTGAGGGGAGAAGAGGCCAAACGCTCATGGCGTTATTTGGAGATAAAGAGGATCAGCACGTCTCAGTACATCACATTTTGGTGATGAGCGGATCAAAGCCATAATCGAGTGGATTAATGTTTGATTACATTTACACTCACTAATACATCATCCATCAGTAGATATGCAAACGGTTTATATGGTATATGTAATTTAGAAATGGAACAGAGTATGAAACCAAGACCAATGCTCACAATGAACAAGTCTGAGCCATTGCTGTAATCAAGACTTCAAGACCCACTGTTTTTGAAGGTCTTGTATATGGGCTAAATGCTCCAGGGCCAGTCTCTTAAAACTAATGATAATGTAGAATAGCCTAGTTAATATGCATATAATATATGGTACATATTAATGATTTGTTTCATTAGGGCTATTGTGAAGGAACTAATGGCCGTAGAAATAACCAAATAGAAAGATATGTTAAGATTAAAAAAACTGTAAAAGATTTAATACTGTGCACAGTGCATTTGTACACAGCACACTGAAGCTTTGATTGAACTCCATCCATGCTCCCTCCATGCTATCGCTCTCTGACACGTTCACTTGAACACATGTGAGGAGCCAGAGGCTACAGCTGTATCATCTCAATTCCACAACCCATTTTCCCAGGGCAAAAACAGAAGATAACCAGCTTGTGTATCATAGATCTCCCATTTAAAATCTTTATTGATTTAAAATACTTTCCTCAATGCCTTCTTTTCCTAAAAGGGGTGGGATGTAGTGTGTCAGTCAAAAATACAGTTTCCTTGGCAACCAGGGATGATTGTCGTCTGCTGCAGCCTTGCATCACTTGTGACTTGTTGGGATAACTTTGCCTGGGAGATTTCTTTGGTCCTTAAAGCTGTAAGCACTTTTAAAATGTCTTTAAGGGAAGTGCACATTGGAGAAAAAAGTTAAATGGATTTGTTGGCTGCACTTCATGGATCAAAGGGCAAGGTTTATGATGAAAGTAAAATTACAGTTTAAAATAGTAAGCAAGCCTGCCTTTTGTAAAACTGGGAGATCTACAACAGATAACCAATGTTGTTTTAAAGTTACAAATGTTTTAGTTATTTTATTTTTTATTTATTTACTTAATTAATTCATTTATTTTTTTTCTAGGATTCATTTCACATAGAATTCACTTCGTGGCCATCTGCTGCCCCTGTATGGAGACATGTGGAATTGCAAGCAGTGCTTCTGTACGTTTTTACTAATAAATACACAGTATATGGGCTCTATAAGTATATAAATATCATACATCTACATCATACATCACCATCATGTGACAAACAAAAATACATAGGCACTTCCTGACTCACTTTAAACAATTTGTTGGGTAGTATAACCTTACATCAGTTGGATATTGATGGTAAGGCATGGACGAGCAAATGAAAGCTGGATAAATGAGTTGAAGCAACAACAATCATAAATGTTGCACCCATTTTTAGCATAGGAATTGCTGCCCTGTATACTATTGGTGGTCCAGGATTTCAGCATCACCTTTAAAATGTTTGAAATGAGCTGCAACACCATAGATAAAATCTAGAATAAAAGCTGAGAAATAATTGAAAAGAATGGCTGCAATAATTTATTTCTAGCCAAACAACCATCACAAATAATCTTAAACAAAACCTTCTGACACAAATATTGCTGGCTACTAATTTCACAATAAATTATTCATGTTATAGTAATGAGATGTGCTGTGTGTGTAAACATAAAGACAAAGAGTTTGCATTTAGTAGCATCACAGTTTTGGTACCTGCAGTGTTTTGCCACCAACAAACCACCAACACCCCTGCAGCTTTAACAGAACATGCTGCTTTGTGACATCATGCTAAATAAAAATGAACAAAACGTGTACCATCTATGTTTGTGAGATGAAACACAAAATTCCTTTTAAATTCCAGAGGTTTAGCAAAGATCCAGTTCATTTTTTTGTTTGATTTTTTGTTCTTTAGTCCTTGTTTCCCAAAATGAATAGGCAGTGTCAAGGGGATCCATGCTTCCACATTCCTCCTCTCCGTCATTCCAGGGGGTGAGCTTGAAGTTGCTTGTGCTAGCTCATGTCTGTGGACACTCTGCTTCTTCTCTCCTGAAGGCACTGGGCTTGTGTGACAAAAGCTGACTGCATAAACCAGACATGCCACTTTGTTGCATTGTCATACCAGTTTCAATATCCTCTTTTAATACAATGTGCATTGTCGTACATTTTTGCTGGGTGCAAACCTGGCAGTGCTCACAGTATGGGCTTCAGGGGAGATGCGCTCAGTGGATTTCAATGTGCACCTGTGAAAACATTGCAGACACAGTTAAGAAACCAATGCCATAAGAACCTAACATGAGTATACAACAACATGGTTTATGAATATGATAACACTAAATATACCACTTTCTACAGTAAAATTGGTCACGCTATCAATATAACAAGTATAAAAAGGCACACTGAAAATAAATAACGTTACATACAAATCTTTCCTATAAATAATAATATAAATGTCAACCGTACCCTGCATTTCTATTGTCAAGCTAATCCCCATTAGTGTTAACTAAACCATCTTACCTGTAATCGGACATTAAACATCATCGAAGCAACAAGGTAGATGTATGGAAATCGTATTCGCAGCCTCCACGCAAGATTAAAGAATATTAACAAAGTCCTCGTTAAGCCTTTGGAAAACACGCCGTAAGTCCGTCCAGCTGAGCCCGAAAATCGGACCACTAGATGGGACAGACCAGCCATACAGGCCCGGTCTGCCCCGTCTGTCTCCGCGGCGAGGATTTTGGGTCAGTGAAGCGGCGACAAGGCGACCATAAAGCCCGCAGAGGTGTGACAGTTCATATTTCTATCTTTCTATGTCACGGTACTCCATTTTTTCTTCAGATGATTAACTGTTGTGGCAGATGAGCTCCACCCGCTTCTCTACCGACTCCTGTTATGGTCATAGGAGGAGTAGCATCGTCAACGCCGCGACGCTGTTAAACTGTTACCCAAAACAACACTCCAACACTCGTATAAAACCTACATAAAACAAATAAACCAATCCAAACCAAACATATTCAGTTTTATGTATTTTAATACAATATAGAAAACATACACTAAAATAAATTACCTCATTTTGCTCAATTGTAACCCTGACAGACAAAGTTCTGGGAAAAACATAGACGGCTGTCATGACGCCACATCCGCTTTTTGTGTCACATATCCAGCAAAAGATAATTTGAACAATTTATTCCTAAAAATATATTAGGAATATATTGTGTAGAAAGTGAAGTGAATCTATGCATGCAAGATAATAGACATATAATAATATAATAATTAATAATTATCATTAGCCCAAATGTTAATGGCAGAATTTAGTTTTACATAGGTCTATATTTAGAACATCTCTTTCTGCCTTAATTAATGCTGACACTTATTTTTGCTTGCAATTCAAATTATTTCTATCAATACAATATAAAATGCAGTTTAGTAGTTGAACATCACCCAAACTCCTTAGTATGGTATAGAAAAATAATAATACAGACATACAAGCAAAGTTGTTCATCTTTAATGCAACATAAAATGACATAGTCATTTTAATACATTTAAACAAAAACCCACAAGGTTCAATATGTTTGGCACAACTTAAATAACAATTAACATTTTTCAAACAACTTAAGTCTTTGATGTTTTAGTCATCAACATATCGCAGTAATGTGCCTGAAGTTGTTGGTACACTGTAAAAGTAATGGAAGAAAATATTATTTTGTTTTATTATTGGTTGGCAGTTAGTGTGTTTCAAGTTTAATTTACCTTTCAACAAGCTCTGCACCAACAATGTCATGAATGTGATATTTCATGTGGAATTTCACTTGGGAGGGTGTTTTTCGGTCCTCTAGATCAACCTTTAAGACTTCATTATATTTTGATTTCTTTATCATTTTGAGTACTGCTTTGCGACCTTAGAAAAAAAAAAAAGAAAAACTGCCATCAGCAAAGGATTCAAGCATTTACACAGGAATGGAATGGATATCTGCAATGAAACCACACACAGAAAGCACTAGATAAGTTTTTACCCACCTTGTATAAAGTACTTGGTGAATTTTCCCGAGTTGGGAATAGATAACCACCAGCTGCCAGCGTCCCTCACAGTTAGCACCCCTGACTTCACCAGCTGCCTAAGTGGTCAGGAGAGGTGAAGCTGTAAGTTGTAACATAGTAGCAGTATGTGTCATAATACTTGAAATAATGTGTAAATTAGTAGCCATACGTGATTTCATCATCTGAGAATAGAAAGTCACGGAGCATCTGGTCCTTGCTGAAGCTCAGATCTGTGCAGGATGTCAACACTTTGTCAATAAACTTCTGCACTGTCTCCTGAGTATCACAGCCATCCTGTGCTGCTAAAACTTTGGCTTTGTAATCAGATGCAAAAACTAGACCAAAAGCTTCTGAATCAAACCCTAGTTGAAACATCAGAAGGTCTCCTTGTTCCCTCAATTTATTCTGTTAAATAGCAAAGACACAACAGCTTTAGGATTGAATTATGCCATTTATATAGCATGTTTGTAAATCCTGTCTTTATATATAAATAAATAAGAACTTACTACTCCTTTGTCCACCATAGTTTTATCACTAATTACACTGTAGATTTGATGTTTCAGCACTATTTGAGGCAAGGCATCATTGAAGACTTTTCTGGGGAATAGTGTCATAAGATACTCCACTGCGGCTTTGACATCAGTTGGTCCTGTCAAATACAAAATGTAAATATAAATAATATAAATACTAAACCAATATAACAAAAAGCAAACACAGGCGGGACAATTCAGTTTTATACACACCTTCCTCATCACTGAGCCCAAATCTCTGAGTGACAGCTTTCTTCTTTCTCGAAACAAAAGCATCAGAAATCAAACCACGTTTCCTGTTCATTTCTGTGAAAAGACCAAAGTAAAGTAACCCAGTGGATAGTCATTTTTGACATTCATCGTTACATTTTATTTGTCATTTTTACTCAAGCTAAAATGCTAATGGCTAACACCCATGATACAATATACAAACACACATTTAACAAACTATTCTTTCATTAAACGACGCGTTTACCTGAGGTTTAGAATAACGAAAAATACCACATTGCCTTTCAGAAAGTCCAAAACGCGACCCTAGAATGCACAAGCAAAATATAATGAGAAGTTTGAGAAAGAGGGGTGGTCTTTTTTTTACTGTCTTGGCCTTTTTGTTTTTGTTATGCTGCCACGGTGGACTGGAGGAATAAAACACGGAAGTAATACTGTTTTTAGCTTTCACTGAAGCGAAGCTAGCGCGATTATGAAGATTGTATGAACAAGTCTGCGTTTTTATGTAAGTATTTAGCCATGCTTTTATATGCGCTGGTTTACTATACGTTTTATCTCTGAATATTGTTGAACCAATTATAATGCGCACAGATTTATTACTTTTTTTTTTTTTTCTGGTGGAGGGTCTTGCACCAGCTTGTACCCATTAAGAAGTTATTTATTTTCCTGGAATCTGGTACAATATGACATTAAACTTACACGGTCCCAGGCCAGGTTACATGTCACCTGCATGATTTAGGAGGTATTTTTGGCCAGTACACACGCAGAGTTAAATTAAGTGTATGCAGCTTGCACTCTTACATTTTAGGACAAACACAATTGAACCTGGATTGCCACAACGCTTTAACCTTCATATATAGGACACATAATAAAGTTTTTTGGCATTCTCACTTTATAGACAGCTTTATACTGCAGCAACAGAGGCGCTGATTGATGTTTGGTAGGTGCTGGTTTTGAGTGAGGATTAGGCTCATCCTTCTTTCTGATTGGTCTTGAGAACTGTTATATTAACTGTCTATTTAGTGAAAATTGTAAAAGTTTAATTACACATTGATGAACGGGAACAGTACACAAGAAGAGGTTCCTATCTGCACTGCCCGTACAGTGACTTTGTTGCTCAGACAATTTATGGTTTGAAAAGAAATAAGATGATTGGTTTAAGAGGAATCCTGCTATTCTGTTTAGTGGCCTTTGTTCACATGGGATCTTAGCTTATTTTATCTATGTACCATTCTTGAAACGGCTGATAATAAACCAGCATTACTATTGCAAAAGCTATATTTGATTTGAACATTTTTACCTCATAGCTGGGAACACAGTTGGACCTAAAAATCTAATTCTTACTTACACTGACTCCTTTGCAGGGTGGATGCATGTTGAATTGTTTAATAGTATTCAGTGGAACAACCTAGGGAAAGCAAAAACATTGGACCCTCCGCTAGAAGTTACATAAATGCATCTTGAACTATTTGCTTCTTTAAAAAAAAAGTGTATGTTTTCTGTGTTTAAATATTTGTACAGTTTGTTTTGACTGTCATTGAGGCATCTTTTTCATGTTTAGATCATAATGGATCACTATCGCCATTCCCATGCATCTCGAAATTCAGGCTCCAGTGATCGACATCACCACAGGAAAAGAGAACATGAAGGACTCCCTGAAAGAAGTCATCACCAAAATAAACACTTTCAACCAAACAGACATCATCAGCAATTTTCTGAATCTGGCCCAAGTCACAAAAGTTATGCATCCAGTCTTCAGACACTGAGCACCAAAAAGGAGTTATATGAGAAAGACTTTCCGCTTTATAAGCAGCCCATAGAGGTTGGGTGCTTTTCTTTGGACTCGGAACGAAGGTTTTTTAATGACAAAAGACAACTGAGGTTTTACTCAGACCCAGGCTTAAACCCCTGCTTTGATCTCAGAGATGGATTCAAGGACCGCTATATAAAGAGAGATGAAAATGTGAAAGAGAAGTTGGACCATATACTAAGGTGGATCATTTCAAACAAAGCCAAAGTCACATCTAAGGACATATCAAAACAGTAAGTGTGTCACATACTTCATAGATGTCATTTTAATAGACATTGATGTCTTTAATTAAGAGGTCCACAGCCGATCCTCTGCTAGTAAAAGCATGTGGTCCAGAGTTCAGACATCGGAGGAAGAGATTTACCTTTTTTGCGTTAAATCGCAATGAGTAAAAGTATGTGTAGTTTGTGTTCATGAAATTAATTTTGAAAGCCATTTTGTTGTTGTTTTTTTTTTTTTTTTTTATGGGACATCAAATCGGAAATTATAACCAATTAATTTGGAAAGTATCATATGCCCAAGTATCATGTGTTTTATAATTACAAGGTGACTAATTAACATGTAGCATATATAATCTCTGCTCTATTCTCAACAGTGCTCTGGATGCAGATTTCGTGACTTGGCGTGGTCATCTAACCAAACTGCTCACTACACCGTATGAGACCCGGGAAGGCTGGATGTTCGCTGTGAGCAAGTTCAGGGGTACAGTTTACATCAGTGAAGTGGAGACAGAGGCAGCTCGCAGGGACCGAGAGAATCGCACTGAGAGGCACAGTGAAATGATGTACTGGGGCTACAAGTTTGAGCAATACATGTGTGCAGGTACCAACACTATACAGTAGATAATGGACCCACCATTTGATTGTAGAAGTACATTTGTCATTAATTTTCCCCATAATCTTTGTAACATGATAAAAGTGTGAATGTTATCAGCTATGTGGTAACTAAACACCACAGGAACTCATTTTATTTTCTGAAATATCGTTATTAAAACAACTTCTAAGTGTTTTTTTTTGGACAGAAAACAACTGCATTAGGGTGATTAGTTGAATACACGGCTGGTTAGTCTCCACTGTGCCTTTTAAAAATATGAATGGTGAATTTACTTCCTGAACTGCACATGGGCTTCAAAGTGGACAGTACTGTTTTACATGTGACACATTTTGGGCTGTATAATAAAAACAATCCTCTTGCTCTTGCTTTCAGATGACATCAGCAGTTCCCCTGACCCCAGTGGAATGGTTAACACTAATGAAGCGTTTTGTACAGTGGTGCAGACTCGGCTTGCAGATCACAGACTTCTGTTCTCTGGTGAGGTGGACTGTAGAGTTAAAGACCTCAAAGCTCCAGATCCACCTGCCTGCTACGTTGAGCTCAAAACTTCAGCTGAAATCTGCACTCCTAAACAGCGCAGCAACTTCCACAGGTGGATATTAATTCAGAGAGTGTTTGCTTTTCTGCTGTTTGGTCTTTTTGTCAGTGTTGTTTGTCCTTTCAGGTTCAAGTTGTTAAAGTGGTGGGCGCAGTCTTTTCTGCCCGGAGTGCCCCAAGTTATAACAGGGTTTCGGGATCATGATGGGGTCATCGTGAAAGTGGAACCTTTCCAGATTTCCAAAATTTCACAAATGATTAAGGTACATATTTAATTTATATCTGATGATGCATTTCTTACATATAAAAAAACAATAACAATTCTTCTTCTTGTCTTTTTACAGGGTGAATATAACTGCTGGAAGCCTACAGTCTGTATGAACTTCTGCAATGACTTTCTGACATTTGTCAAACAGGTGGTCTGTGAGGACAATCCAAGGTATAGTATGCTACATTTTAACTTATAAAATATGGACATATAAATTAATTATATTGTTTTATTTATTTTTTATATTGTGTCATTTTCAGTGTTGTTTACTTGTTCTCTTGGGAACCATATAGAGATGTTGCCTACACTATTCACAGAGACTCTCAGTATTGCTTCCTGCCAGAGTGGTATATAGAGGAGATCAAAAGAACACAAGCATAGTCTACCACCATTTGTCCATTTGTGCTCCTTGGAACTGTGAAACCTTGACTGTTTTCCAAGTCTGATTTATATTTACAACATTTTATTCCTTTAAATAAAACACAAAACATATTCTGTTAATTCACAATTTATTTATAACAACTGGTTAAAGCTCATGGTTCTAAAAAGGCAGTGGCCCTCTTTGAAGATGTCCTAAAACATTAACCCCGAAAATAATTCAATGCAGTTTTGAGTCACCATGGCACCTCACTCTGTGACCCTAACTTAGTCCAGAGCAGGTTTTATTCCTCTCATCTAGATGTGTGCAAAATTGTGTCTATGTATTTTAATTAGGCTTTGCAAAGGTATGTGCATCTTCATATTAAAATTATTTAACTTGATTAAACTTGTGCTCTTCTACATTTCTTTTAATCAAACCTGACTGATCTGTCCAAAGCACAGGCCTCCTCTAGTTTACCGTTGCCATGGTGAATTTACTTTTCTGGGATACAATGAAAGTTTCACATCTTCTGCTGAACTCAAGTCTCTGACTTTTCTAACTCTGCTCCAGACCAGTTTAGTGAAGCAAAACAAATCCAGGGTTTATTGAACCTCCTTTATGAACCTGATGCCACTTACAGTATTTAAATAAAATGAGTGAATGAATGCTTATTTGGACAGTAATGCATAAAACAAATGTAGAAAAATAACAAATGCATATGTAAAATACTATGTTTTGTGATATGACAAGTGCTCCTAGAGAGGTCGCTATTATGCCATCAAACATTACCTTTTTGATGACACAAACTTTGTAATGTTGAAACACTTGTAAAAATGTCATAAACAATACTTGCACACAAGTTTATTCTATTTGGTCCAATTACTTTTTGTGTGAATAAAATTAAATTTGTACCCAACTGCTCAATCAAAATCATTTTAAAGACAAACATAACCACATTATGATAAAAAATTATTTCATCAAATAATTAGGAAATAATCACCTATAAGCAGGTGTCCAAGAAAAACGTACAAAACTGAGAGAAGTAAAATAAATTATGACAAAAATAATGTTTGTAAAATCTGCTGCAAGCTGCCGCCACAGTAGTTTGTTACTCATCACACAGTTCTGTTAAAGTTCATACTGACCAGTAGGGGACAGTAGGCATAAGTACACTTATCACACACCAAATTACTTTCCAATATCTATTTTGTACAAAAAGTACATTACCTAATGCATTAACATTAATTATTTTTCTTTTATAAATGTCATACCAAACATTTACAAAATTGCAGCGTAACACTCCAGAAAAAAAAGGTAACTTGCATTTTTCACAAGTATAAATCAGAGCTTTATCTTACTGCTTTTCTCTTTGTGACATAATTTAGTTCATTAGGATTTTTACAATAGCAAACCTTAAAAATCAAGTTCACAGTTAATGGTACAATATAAGACACACTGTGATTAAGAGGTCGGTAGTTTTATACCAAGGCATTGTTAAAGTAGTTAAAAGTAAACCTTTTCACTTAATTCACTGCCATGTGGAAATCACTTGAGTTTCCTCTTTATGCCCATAACTCTGAATGTAGCAGCAGTGATCTTTTCATACACTACAAACATCAGAGCAGCAGTGAGTACCGTTTGAAGCAGCTTTGCCTCAAGTCCTTTGTACAGCCCCAAAACACCATGGCTCCTGAAATACAAAAAATATCCAATTTAATCATCTGCAATGTAAAATGTTGTTTACACGTGCACTTACTTTATTCTGTCCAAAAACAGAGTTATAATGTTTGACAGGCTTCCCAGGAAACCACCTTTACCGTCACCTTTATACTGACCAAACTGGAAAACAAAAGATCATTCACTCAGCAGATATAATACTTTAGTAAGTTATTATTATACATTATTAATGTTACACTAGGTACCCTCAGAATAGCCTGAACTGTCTGCAGTGGGTATGTGGCTGTGGCAGCAATGGCCTTTGCAATAGCTCCAATGAGAAAAATTTCAGCTGAAGAAATCTGGGATCAATTGATAAATATCAGTCATTAAATAGACCAGAATTCAAATTTAAATTCAACTCATGTTACCAGTAGATTATTATATATACCTTTCTTCCGCCTTTGCCTGCTCTCCTCTTCATGGCCTCATAAATCATAAACTGTACAGCAGGGTTCATGACAAGAATGAGAGAAGGCACAAGGCCATTCCACAGGGTTCCCACTCCTTCGTTAGCGATAATCTGTGAAAATGCATCTAAAAAAACACAATGATTTTTGTATGATTTCTAAAACAGAAACCGCAGTCTAACACAAATACACTCACAGAAAAAAACAAACCAAATATGCCCTTGTAATGAGTCTGGTGGAGGTCTTCGTCTCTAAACTTCACTCCCTGGAGCTTGAGTCTCGTGTTGACTACCCACATGGGCGTGGTCAGGATTACATTCACTGCACCTGGATCCAAACATAAAGGTATATATTCAGTTATAAATAAATATAAATCAGTTGTAAGTTATTGAGTCATTGGGTGTTGTGCTGTGAGTGCTACCTGATATGATGCCCATGAGCAGATCTTTACCAGGTCTAGACTTTTGTGGGCCTGCAACCATAACCCTCTTGAGGGTGTTAAAGGTGTAGAAGTAGACAAAGTTTGAGCAGCAAAGGCTTGAAATAACAGGAAACCATCCTCTGTACAATGACAGTCTAGAAGAAGAAAGAAATTAGTCTTCTCTGACTAAATGAACATTTTATTGATCCACAAGGGAAATTACACAGTGAGCTACACAGTAGCTCACACATCCCAATATACTTAAACTACTTATACTTATCCCAATACTTATTATAATAAAAAAAAGCTATAATATAAATGGTGATAATAAATTCAAAAGTAACAAAAATAGCAAGAGACTGTGTTCAATAAGGCATAATTATACAAATGTATAAGTAAACAATAACATAGAAATATACTAAAACAAACTATAACATATACAAAACAACCATTTAACAGGAGCTACTTTACTTACAGGCCTTCTTCCTTTGCTATTTCAGCTAAGATGACTGGAGTGGATTTGGCTTTTCGTTTCTCATCCACTGTTAAGGAAGAAACACATTAAATTAAACTCAAAAACTAAATTGCATTAAATAAAATTAAATCAGAAAATGCCTTTTTTTCTTAACAGTTACAGAAACAAACTTGTAGTAGTAGCAGAGCATGCACATGCCGCACCAAATACATGTATATGGGGAGACAGGTGCATGATGTCACATTTTTTCATTCCCGTCTCTGTCTCAGAAACCAAACACAACAGAAATATAGTATGTGTACCAAATAAAAGAGCAAGATCTTAGCTATTTTTGGCTATTCTATCTCTGTGTCTTGTTTACGCTCAGATTTATAAGAGATCAAATACGAGGTTGGACGGCTGTGACAACATGCTCCATCACAGAGTAAGTTGTATATCTCTAAAATCTTCTATCTTACCCTGTGAACTTTGTTGTAGAGCTCACACTGGTGTCAAATTGACTCAGTGTGACTAGAAAAATACACCTATGTGTACAGTGTGTACATTATTCATTTATTTGGGTCATGTTTGTTTTTAAAGGAAGTTTAGCTATGGGACAACATGGCCTGTACCACCCAGGTGCACTTCTTCTGGTTGTGGCTAAAGTTATCTTCATCTGTGCAGTTTCATTGATCATTACTAGAAAGTTATACTTGTTATTAAATATTTAAATATGTATTTACGAGATTATTTAATTTTAATTTTGAAAAGTTAAAACTAAATATTGCATGTTAAAAATCTTAGTTGCGACTATGAAAAATGCTTTTAAGGACACTTCTCATGCAAACATTGATCAAATTAGTTCAGTTTCAGGCCAGAAGTACAGACCCAAAAAACACACAAATGCCATTTCACTTCTGTAATTTAACTTTTTGTTTTTGAAAAAGATGCAGTGTGACAACTTATCCAGTGCCCCTACATGCCCCGGGCTCCCCCACTCATCATAAATCTATTTCAACAATCAGTTCACCTCTGTCCAAACTGATAAGCCCGACTCACCCTGCAGTCTGCTCTTGGCTGTGTCCAACGGGAAGAAGACTGTCATTGCTGTCACACTTCCCTGAGACACACAAATCAAACACTTTAACAACTTTACTCTCTCATTTTACATTAAAGTTGTTATTCGTTTATGCAGCTCACCATTGCCCCGGCCACGGCATGCACCAATGTCTCGTAAGACAAGAGGCCGATAGCGGAGCCGTCGTTGTGGGACATCCCTGCAGCCTTTACTGGTCCCGGCCTCTGACACACACCGGCACAGGCTGGATCCACCCGCGGAGCTACGGAAATAAACGGGTTACGCCACAAATCTTCCTGACAACGCACGTAAACACAATCGCGGCTAAATGAAACGAGTATTGTACAAAACCGAAGAAGTTGTACAAAAAAAGAAAGTGGTAAAACCGCTTTCTGTTGGTTCTGTTTGACAGGTTTCCGCCCATAGAAATAGATTTATGTAATGATTGGTCAAGACGCCTTCTTCGCCACTGAAGAACTAAAGCCGTGCGTAAAACAGCCCCTAGCGCCTTGGAGGATGATGGAAAGTCCAGGCAGGTTTTAAATAAATTAATATACAGCCTTTAAATATATGTATGTATAAAGGCATACATACATACATACATACATACATACATACATACACACATACACACATACACACATACATACATACATACATACATACATACATACATATGTGTCATTATCCAATGAAGGTACAATAAAGTTCTATCTTATCTGATCAAACTAGATAGATTGACCTGTTAAGCCAGGTGCAGGCATACAAACAAACATCAAGATTGAGGCCATTGGCAAGGATTTTACAACATTTTAATATAACGTGATAATTTTGAATTCTGTGTACAGTTATTAACCAATTATTAACCATGATACAACACAGATCAGAAAAAGACTTCTGGGTCAGGAGGACTGCTGAGGTCTTGAGGTGGGACCATCCAGCTGAAGAGACAAAGCACCATGGCATGTGTGCTCTATGTTTCTACATACAGTATTTGCTCTGTCCTTGTCCTGTGCAGCAACTAGCCAAAAGCATCTATTTGTCTCTTGACCTGGACACACGACAGTCCCACCTCAGGACCTCAGCAGCCCCCCTGACCCAGCCTGGACCTCAGGGTGGAGTCTGGGAACACGAGGCCTGATGTGAGCCTACATACAGTATTTGCTGTGCCCCTTAAAGTGCCCTGCACAACAATGAACCAAAACCATGTGTGGTACAATATGCAATGTGTGTGGAATACTTTGATTTTACCATTGAAACCACAGCTGCCAACTATTGGCAAAAAGTGTGGCCAAAATAATACATTAAAAATAGGGAGCACTGTCTTAAAGCCATCTATTTGTCTCTTGAGCTGGACGAAACAGTGATGGACGTTCAACCCAAAAGACCCAAAGGTGAATATAAAACTGTTTTGCTGAAATACACTAGTATTTTGTAATGTTGTTTCTAACTTTTCCTTTATGTTTGCAGGTTTGGGTGGTGTCCTCTTCTACAGGTATCCGTTTATTATCATCATTGTTAATTAGTTCATAGTTAATCTAAGCTAAATCTACTTCGTGTCTTGCGACTGTGAGACATGAAAATCAGCTGCGGCAACTGTAGCAGATGTTACTTTATTTTATTTGAAAACAGCTCAAGCTAAAACATGTCTGCCATATGTTACTGACTAACCCTCAAGTTTTCAGATTTTAGGTTGGTGTCTAACCCTTTTACAACAGCTCTGCGATATCTACTACTGCTATATAAGGTAAAGAGTGCTTCTGACCAGTGAAAAATGAACCTTTGCCTCTATCTGAAGTTGAAAAAGACCCAAGAAGAAGAATAGAAAATCTTATATCAGAGGCTATGCTCCAAAATATGGAATGAAAGAATTGATCCAGACCACTTTGTTGGAAGAGTTTACCTAAACTCTGTGTTTTGGGTTAAATTTCAGCCAGCTTTCCCCAAAGGCCCAAAGGTAAATTTAAAACTGTTTGCTGAAATACACAACTCTTTAAGAAACAGCCAAGTGAAACCATGCTTTGTTGAATACTGCTAAGATAGTTTTAGTTGTGTACTCCCAAGATAAAACACTTCTTGTAATTTGTTACTGACTGTTTCCTTTGTGTTTGCAGGTTTAGGTGGTGTCCTCTAACCCGTCTACAGTGTTGTGCAAGTTCACACTTTTCATGAACTAGTTCAAAGTTCAGTTCACACTTGTTCAAAGTGAATAGTTCACATTCATAGTTCACAATTTTAATTTTGAACTAGTTCAAAGTTCAGTTCATTTTATATTTAGATGAGATCTGTAAATGAAAGGCTGCCTTTAATGTTCAAACTGACTTCTAGTTTACAACAACTTTACAAGATACACTGTTGGACAAGTGACTTTAAAACTGTGATGTGTTATTTATGACTTGTTACTGTCATTTCAAAGTCATTTGTTACATTACAATATTACTGTGTTTAAAATGTAAAACATTACACGACTATTGCAGCACTTTTAATTTATTCTCACCAAAAGAACTGTTAAGATGCTGAACTTTTGCGCCGTATATGGACTAAACCAGGACTAAACCAGGTCTAAACCAGGACTAAACCAGGACTAAACCAGAACTGAACCAGTCTAAACCAGGACTGAACCCAACAGGACTAAACCAGGACTAAACCAGGAACTAAACCAGGACTAAACCAGAACTGAACCAGGTCTAAACCAGGACTGAACCAGAACTGAACCAGGTAAACCAGGACTAAACCAGGTCTAAACCAGGACTAACCAGACTAAACTAAACCAGAACTGAACCAGGTCTAAACCAGGACTAAACAGGTAAACCAGGACTAAACCAGAACTGAACCAGGTCTAAACCAAAACCAGGTCTAACAGAAACCAGGAACTGAACTGAACCCAGGACTAAACCAGGACTAACCAGGACTAAACAGAACTGAACCAAAACCAGGACTGAACCAGGACTAAACCAGGACTAAACCAGTCTAAACCAGGACTAAACCAGGACTAACCAGAACTGAACCAGGTCTAAACCAGGACTAAACCAGGACTAAACCAGAACTAACCAGGTCCAGGACTAAACCAGGACTAAACCAGGACTAAACCAGGTCTAAACCAGGAAACCCAGAACTGAACCAGGTAAACCAGGACTAAACCAGGTCTAAACCAGGACTAAACCAGAACTGAACCAGGTCTAAACCAGGACTAAACCAGGTCTAAACCAGAACTGACCAGGACTAAACCAGACTGAACCAGGACTAAACCAGGACTAAACCAGGACTAAACAGGACTGAACCAGACTGAACCAGGTCTAAACCAGGAATAAACCAAGACTAAACCAGGACTGAACCAGAATTGAACCAGGTCTAAACCAGGACTGAACCAGGACTAAACCAGGTCTAAACCAGGTCTAAACCAGGACTAAACCAGAACTGAACCAGGTCTAAACCAGGTCTATACCAGAACTGAACCAGGTCTAAACCAGGACTAAACCAGGTCTAAATCAGGACTGAACCAGGACTAAACCAGAACTGAACCAGGACTGAACCAGGTCTAAACCAGGAATAAACCAAGACTAAACCAGGACTGAACCAGAATTGAACCAGGTTTAAACCAGGACTGAACCAGGACTAAACCAGAACTGAACCAGGACTAAACCAGGTCTAAACCAGGAATAAACCAAGACTAAACCAGGACTGAACCAGAATTGAACCAGGTCTAAACCAGGACTGAACCAGGACTAAACCAGGTCTAAACCAGGTCTAAACCAGGACTACACCAGAACTGAACCAGGTCTAAACCAGGACTAAACCAGGTCTATACCAGAACTGAACCAGGTCTAAACCAGGACTAAACCAGGTCTAAATCAGGACTGAACCAGGACTAAACCAGAACAGGACTGAACCAGGTCTAAACCAGGAATAAACCAAGACTAAACCAGGACTGAACCAGAATTGAACCAGGTCTAAACCAGGACTGAACCAGGACTGAACCAGGACTAAACCAGAACTGAACCAGAGCTGAACCAGGTCTAAACCAGGACTAAACCAGGACTAAACCAGAACTGAACCAGGTCTAAACCAGGACTGAACCAGGACAAAACCAGGTCTAAACCAGGTCTAAACCAGGACTAAACCAGAACTGAACCAGGTCTAAACCAGGACTAGACCAGGTCTATACCAGAACTGAACCAGGTCTAAACCAGGACTAAACCAGGTCTAAATCAGGACTGAACCAGGACTAAACCAGAACTGAACCAGGACTGAACCAGGTCTAAACCAGGAATAAACCAAGACTAAACCAGGACTGAACCAGAATTGAACCAGGTCTAAACCAGGACTGAACCAGGACTGAACCAGGACTAAACCAGAACTGAACCAGAGCTGAACCAGGTCTAAACCAGGACTAAACCAGGACTAAACCAGAACTGAACCAGGTCTAAACCAGGACTAAACCAGGTGTAAATCAGGATTGAACCAGGTCTAAACCAGAACTGAACCAGACTAAACTAGAACTGAACCAGGACTGAACCAGGACTAAACCAGAACTGAACCAGGACTAAACCAGGTCTAAACCAGGAATAAACCAAGACTAAACCAGGACTGAAGCTAAAATGTGATGACTGTCATGTTACTAACTCTTCAGTTTTCAGGTTTCCCCCACATCTATTAAAACCTGATCATTTGGAATAATCTTGAGGTACAGTATATTTTAGTAATCCCTTTTGAGGGAAATTCTCCCTCTGCATTTGACCCATTCATCATCAACAAAGTGCTGCTGGGGCAGCCTGTCAGGAGCAGTAAGCTACTGCCATACACCTGTGCAGATTCTGCACAGAAAGGAACCTTCTTGCTGTGAGTGAGTATTCACCTTGACTTGGTTTTGGTCCAAGGGTTGAGGCCCTTGTGTTCTGTCATTTTCTTGTGGTCTGAATGTAATAGTTCTGATCCTTTTGGACCTGTTGGATTTGTGAGTGACATAATCTTACAGGGATCCTGCTGCAGGTTTGACTGATTAACTCAGGTAGGTGACATTTCTGTGTGAATCATCATCTCAAAACAAGGCCTGAATATGCTGAGGATTTTATGTTACAGTCTAAGGTTTTACTCCTAAACTGGTCCGAAAGTTGGCCATATTCTAAATGTTGGCTCACTTTTATGGAGACTGCTGGTCTCTTTGGTCTGATCTGGTCTAAATGTGGAGTGGGACCAGATTAAATGTTTACACCATCATTTCCACAGGCTGCATTTGGGCTTGGGCCCTTGTGTGTTTTTTGTGTGTGCCTCGACTGGTCTAAATATGGGCCAGATTTAAAAAGGCTGGTAAAACATGTTATGGTTGGGTGAAACTGAAATTACTTATTGTAAACTAACCCTTCAACAGTTTCATTTGGAGTTAAAAAAGTTCTGAAAACTGACTTGAGCTTTGTGTTGTGTGTATGTTTTATATTTAGTTTGGTCTAAACGTGGACCGGATTTTGACTGCTTTATAGAGTATGATGGCTCTGGTCCTAACCCTTACACTAAACTGAAAGTGTAATAGTATCCTCATCCAACTCTTCCACAGGTTTTCACAGGCTCTGTTCATTTTAACCACTTTAAAATACATTGACATTTCTGTTTAAATGTTGCATTAACTTTATAGGCTTAAAGGTTAAATCTCATATTAATATTGCCATTGTGTATGTTGTAAAATTGTTTGGGGTTTGTCTTGTGAAATGACAGTTCTAACCCTAACTCTTCTGACTCTTCTCATTGCAGATCTAAACTGTTTTACTTAACTTTTAAACTAGTCTTCACAGGTCCAAAGGCTGCTGTTTACTGTGAGTATGTCTGCACGCACTTACTAACACACTAACTCTATATGAGGATGGGCGGTGGGTCTAATCTAGTCACAGAGAGCGCTGTGTGTGTCTCTTTGTGCCAGTCCCCAGCCTGGATAAATGCAGGGATAATTGAACTATTGTGTAATTTTAGATATGCCCCTTTTTCACAGTATGGTTGCTAGGTAAAAGTTATGAAATTGGCTCTGTATCCGCTGTCTGTGTTCAACCAGGAAATAAAATGAGAAATCTTCATAACTGTATTTGCTAACATGCCATATGCTCTTTAAGATATTGACTGTACCAACTTAAAGCTGTCTTTTATCTTGTAGCTTTTAAGTTAAATTTATAGGTTTAATTTAGTCAGTCATAACCAAAATGCCTCCTGCTGCTAGAATAAAAAGTACATCTGTAAACTGTTCTATAAATCTGTAAATATTTTGATGTTGAATAAAATGTATAATGTGTGTAGAATTTAGAAAGAAAAAAAAAAAAAATTATGAAATGTGGGGAAATCTGACAGCTGTGCTACACTTGTGAATTTTTGACTTTAGACTGAGTTTTACAGAGGAAAACCTGAGAACCCAGTACCCCGCGTCGCCCAGAGCAGTGGCGCCATCTGCTGGAGAAGTCCCACTTGATTGTTTTATGTGACAGGCTGTTTAATAGGTTTTTTTTGTTTGTTTGTTTTTCTTTTTTGAAAAGCCATAAACCTGTCCTACTCCAGTCAGCTGACCCAGACCTCGTTGCTATGGTAGCCGGTAGACTGTCTTGTTTTCAGGTTTTTCTGTCATGTCATTTATTAAACGTGTTGTGAGTGATATTCAGATAATAATCTTTTAAGTCTTTTTTTTTTTTTTTTTTTTTTGGTTGAGGTTTGTGAGCCCGGGCCTGTTGTCCGCAGACGAGCCAAAAGCGGAAAGAGAAGAGGCGAAGAAAGCGGAACTTTCACACGAAGCGCCACAGTGGAGCTACGAGACACATGTGTCTCTAATATTTCTCCTGGACTGAGACAACTTTACATTGAAGGTGTTGAATTTTGGGATTCAAAGTGCAATAACAAATTTTTGAGATGGTCCTTACTAAATTATTGCTTCCCCAAGCAAATTAAAAGAGATTATATTCTTAAAAGGAATTTTGAAAAGAAAGATATTCAAATAATTAGAACTAAATATCTTTCCTCTCCAGTTCCCCCTAAAGTAAAGGAGAATAAAATATATTCATCCAATGAATTCCTAAAACAAAAATTCAGATTTGAGACAGGTAAATGTGTGTTCTGTGACACAGGGGTAGAGGACATGGAAGATCTTTTATATTCATGTAATTTGGTACAACATTTTTGCTCTGATTTTCATTCGTTGCTTCAGTCCAGGGGAATTTAATTTGCCTCCCTAACAATAACAGAAATCAAATTTGGCGTATTAAGAGAAGATGAAAGAAGGGAATTTGGTATTAATAATTTATTGATTTTAGATAAACATTTTATTCACAAATGTCTGTCTTTTTTTTAAAGATGAAACCAAATATAACACACTTTAAGAATGACCTGAAACTTTTTGTTAACTCATTGAACCTGATTGAAAGAAGGGAAGCCGGGTTTCTTGTGTCCTTTTTGAACAATGCTGATTTGTTCCTTTGATCAGAAGCTTTAGAATTGCCCCCTTTAGTTTGTTCGTTTGTTTTTTAGTTTCTTCTTCTTTTTTTCTTTTTTTTGCTATGTTTAGGTGTGATCTTTGTGTGGTGTCTTTTTGTTTGTATCTGGGGTTCTGAAGTACTACTAAAAAAAGGTACAGAGACACGGTACAAACACAACCAGAGCACCGTCCTTCATCTGTAGAAGTGTAAGATTTTATTACAGATCCATGCCTCCATAACATTTATCAGATTATTAGACTCACACGCAGCTGTGCTCAGGTTATTCTCATTTCTGCACAAGTTTTATTATCCAGTGTTTTGTAGTTTCTATTAGGTTAGGACAGAACTACATGTGAAAGGTAATCTTAAGTATATTTGTTTAGACCACTCACTTCCTGATGGAAAATGTAAACCAAAGATTGTCACGCTGACTGGACTTTGCTTTTGTTTTATGACTAGATGATATGTGCTGCCAGCCCAGCCCTGGACCCGGACGCCGTGGAGTCACTGGTTGAAGTTTAGCTGCTGTTCACCATAGAAATCTAGAAATATGTCTAGATATCACAAAGCTGCCGTTGATGGGAATTTGGACATCTTAAAAGAGGCAACAACCAAGGACCTGAACACTGCAGATGAGGATGGCATGACACCCACTTTATTGGCAGCTTTCAATGGACGGGTTGACGCACTTCAACTCATCTGCAGCAGAGGGTGAGGCACAGTCCAATTATAAACTAAACTCATGTAACTAAAACATTATTATAGGCCTATATAAGTTGTTCTATATATATTTCAATTTACTATTAACACAACTACTCTCTCTGATCTAATATATCTGTGACAGTCAAAACAGTAATTTGTATACCTTCACAGTTTATTTTATTTCAACTTCAGCTGACAAGATGTCTGATGGTGACCACAGATTTTTAAACTTCTGTTTGTTGTTGTCTAATTCTTTGTTTTGTTTATGACGTGCTACTATAGTGACATAAGTAATCATGGCGTTTATTGCAGACAAGTGGCACATCACAAGGACTTTATTTCTTAATAGCTTACCAATTATTTCTTCATAAAACTGTCCAAAGATACTTTCCGATTCAGATCATCAAAAACTAATGTTCTATTCAGGTTTGTCTCGCTTCCAGAAAAGCAGTAAAATGTAAGACATAAATCATCCCTCCATTTAGGGTTAGTAAGAATAAGCGTGTAACTTCAGGAAATCGGGTGATACAGCAAATCAAAAACTATGTATCAAATCTGAACACAATTTTATTAACACTGACAAACATGATTTTTAGAGCTAAACCACAATAATTAATTACTTACAATGTGCTAGAAATGTCATTATTATTATGGCCATTATTACTCAGAGCTAAAAACCATTTTGTTGGTCAATATACTCCAATCATGGTGTTCACTTTAGCTTCATCTGGATCAGATTTAGTAAAAATGTCCTGTTCATGGACTAGTTGCAATCACAAGAATAATTGCTAGATTAATCAATTAGCAAAATTGTTTAATGATTTTCTTTCTTCTTACAGTGGAGACCCTAACAAAAGTGACATCTGGGGTAACACACCCTTGCACCTCGCTGCAGCAAACAACCACATGCAAATCCTCAGTTTCCTTGTCAACTTTGGAGCCAACCTCTTCGCCCTGGACAATGAGTTCCACACAGCTATGGATGTTGCCGCTGCCCGTGATCGCATGGACTGTGTGCGCTTTCTGGATGCTTCTGCCTCACAGGAAACCAACCAACATCCTAAAAAAGTTGCTATTAAAAAGAAGGAGGCCATAAAACAGGCGGAGAGGCGGGTGAACCAGTGTGAGAAGGTTAAGAAGAAGCACCAGAACAAGATGGACAAAATGTACCGACCCAGCCAAGGATTTGGTTCAGTTACAGAGGCCAGCATGGAGGCAACTAACATCAACGCCCTTGCTAGTTTAAGTGAGAAAAACATGATAAACAAAGGTGGGTCCCTGTCAGCAAGAGTTAAAGACACACTGCAAAAAAGGCTTGGGAAGAAGGGCAAGGATCCAATACAGGAGTCGGGGGCAAAAGGAAATGTGATTTTCCTCAAACCAGATGATGGCAAACCTGAGTTTTTGGAAGTCTTCAATGAACAAGATGAGGATGTTTCAGAGGAAAATGACAACAATGAGGATGCAGAAGAAGAAGTCCAGGTGAAACAATCAATATTCAACCGTCCTGGACTTGGAGGTCTCATATTTCAACAGAACATGGGCCTTGAGACAGATGAGTTTCCAAGTGGTGGCAATGAAAATCTCGGGTACCTGTTTCAAAATGAGGCGCTTGAAGGCGAGGACGAGCTGTGGCTGGAGGCTGATGGTCAGTTACCGTGGGAACAGGTGGATCTGGGGCTGGATGATGATGAAGATGAAGACACCTCTCCTCTTGATGCTTTCCTGTCATCCATTGCATTGCCAGAGTTTACTCTAGCATTCAATAAAGAGCACCTGGACCTAGAGGCACTGATGCTTTGCTCTGATGAAGATTTAAAAGGCATTCGCATCCAGCTGGGCCCAAGAAAGAAGATCCTGGAGGCAATTGCCCGCCGAAAATATGCCTTGGAAAGTCCTGGCATTATGAAGGACAGCTCTTTGTAATCTAACACATTAAATCAGAATATTATTTAAAGTTTATTTTAACATATGAAAGTGAAAAAATAAAATAAAATCAGAAAACCTTGAAAAAAATTTCAATGTTCATGCATGTCAACAAAATGTAACTACTACCTTTTATTGCTATGCTTTTAGAATAAATATCAAAACAGATAAACAACTACTAAATCCAAAAGACTGGCATGTAACCTATAAGTCATTTGCTTTTTCCATATTTTCTGATTATGATTTTGTTGTTATGTTAGATGTGGACTCATTATGATAAAATAAATTATGCTGATGTTTAAATTCATGTCTTGCTTGTGGTCGTTCTGAGTCGTTTTAATAGATCAGTGGCAATGATCAATAATAACATTAATCATGGTCGTTTTCTGTAAAACGATACAAAACAGGAAGTACAAAGGTATCAGTCCTCTTGACTCGGTTTGTTATGGGAGGAGTCGAGTCAAAGAGGCGTAAACTTCTTCTAGCGTCAACTGCCTGACTAAACTGTACGAGGAGAGCGGGTTTGCTCTGTTCCAGTCACGATTATGTATTTCAGGTATTGTATTCCCCATTTTATTAAACCAACAAATCACGTCTTTACTCTTCACGTCGAGTTTGTAAAGACAGAAGACGTGTTGAAAGCTGAAGCTCCGTAAACTGCGGACAGTTAGTGTGGCTGCATCACTGCTAAGCCTTATTAGTCAGCTAATAGACACACAATCTCGGTCAGGCAAAGTAACAGCGTTGTCATTTTTAAACACGTTTGTAATCCATGCATTAATAGTTTGTTATTACGGATTGCATCCACTTTCTCTGCGCACGTGAACTAGAGAGTTGACGTCTAGACGAGACCCCTAACTTGACTCCTGCTCTCTTTCAGGTTCTCTTAGCAAAGTGAGATATGGCAGAACTTCTGGCAGTGATCGCGGGTTTACCGTCGTCACCGTCCACTTTGAACGTGACCTATTCGGTTCAGGACGGCGCCAGTCCCCCTGCAGCTCCTCCTGTCCCGCTGAGCAGTGAGGACTACCTGTTTGTGGAGAGCAGACACCCCAGCACAGTACTGCAGGGACTCAACAGTCTGCGCCTCAACAATGCCTTTTGTGATGTGACCCTGTGCTGTGGGGGCCAGGAGTTTCCCTGTCACCGCATTGTACTGGCCTCCTTTAGCTCTTACTTCCAGGTAAGCTCAGTTAGAATGCATTTTGGTCTTACTAATAATAATGTCAAGATGAAAGACAGTAGTGTTATACTCCTACAGGCAATGTTTTCTACTGACCTCATTGAGTCCAAACAAGAGCGTGTTGCCATTAATGGAGTTGAGCCCCAGATGATTGGGATGCTCGTGAGCTATGCATACACATCTGAAGTTTACATTTCTAAGGCGAACGTGCAGGTAAAGGAATGATTCATGGCATGAAGTCTGTCCACCAGAGAAAGTACTCAAATATGTTTTTGAATTAGGCACTTTTGGCTGCAGCCAACCTGCTGGATGTTATGGCTGTTAGAGAGGCTTGCTGTCGCTTTATGGAGCGTCAGATGGATGAGATGAACTGTGTGGGGATTCACTGCTTTGCTGAAGCCCACTCATGTAAAGTGCTTGAAAAGCGCAGCATGGACTACATCCTGGAGCACTTCAGCAGTGTTTATCAGCAGGTGGGTAACAAATGTTTTGTTTTAGTGTAGTTTATTGCAAATATAGTCTTGCCTATATATGTCTCATTTATGTCCCATATTATTTGGTCTACTTTTACTAGGAGGAGTTCCTCTCTCTCTGTGTGGACAAACTAACTGAAATTATTGCTAGTGACCATCTAAATGTGCCAAAAGAAGAGGTCGTTTTTGAGGCAGCGGTCCTATGGCTCAACAAATGTCCTTCACGTAAACAGAGCTTTGAAAAGGTGAGAGAACCTGCAGAATCCTGTTGGCCTACTCCCAAGCGTATTGTAAACTAAGAACAAATACACACAGATTTTTTTATGTATTATCACTCTGCAGCTGTTTATCTTAAAAATGATATATGTTGTGGAAAAATTATGTATTTCTTGATAATAAATAATTAATCCATTAGCAAAGCCCAATGAGTTTTTGGAATACAGACAAAGATTTATTCTTGTTACAGCAGATATGGACAGGGCCTAGGTCTGCCCTGGCCAGAGAGCACCAGCCTCCATTGAGTCTCTTGTCTCCAGTCACCCCCTTCTCTTCATCTCCCCCCAGAGCATCAGAGCTCTGAATATTTATACAGAAATACAAGTTAAAAACATATAAAAGTAGAGTGTCTTTTGTTTCACAAACTTACATTTAAGGTTTACTTATTGGAACAGTAGTGATAAAACATAATTACCATACACAGTATTATATACTAAACAACATTTAGATTTTCCTAACAACATGTATTTTTTGTTTGTCTTTTGAAGGTCTTGGAGAATGTCCGTCTGCCTCTCATCAGCCCATACTACCTCCATGATGTGATTGAGTCTCTTGATGTAGTTAAAGATAACCAGGCCTGTCAAAGACTCATTTCTGAAGCCAAGGACTATCTGCTGCTGAAGGACCGCCGTGGAGAGCTCTACTGCCCCAGAGCCAGGCCCCGCAGATCCACAGGTAAAACAACCAAACCTGAGCCGAATCTCTAAACAAGACTCACACACAGCACTCTGCTTGGCTTTGTTGGGAGATCCCATACAGGTTATTACCAACAAACAATTCACAAATTTACAGATAAGATCATTTCTAAGATATTTTTAGATCAAGTACATGTGAATTATTTCAATTAGTTGGTTATATTCGAATAGAAGTTTATAAATAAAGCAGTGTCCTTTTTGGGGGCTACTCCACCACATGTAACCCTCCATCATATTTAGTTCCATATTAGTGGCCTCAGAAGAGAATCTAATAAAAGCAATCGTGCCTCGTCTCATTTTGCTCTTATTGCGTGTTTCCGTGGCAACAGGGACAGCAGAAGTAATCGTGACAGTTGGTGGAGAGGATGACAAGGTGGTGCTGCGAAGTGTGGAGAGCTTCGATCCCGTCACTAATCAGTGGAAGAATCTGGCCTGTCTGCCCTTCGCTGTGAGCAAGCATGGACTGGTCGTGTCAGGTGAGTGAACTGTGTTGAACAAAAACAGTGCAGACAGATTTGGAGAAAGGACAAATGTAAATAAATAAAAGCCTAATTAAATTTTCAATTACATTAACATAAATATTGTTAAATAATGAAATGGTAAAAGGATTTGTTTTATTATACTTTGTAAATTTTACATGGGCACACAGAGAACTCACTAACAGATTGTGGGAAGAAGCAATGTGTAATTGTCCTTGAATTCTAGCCCAGTACAAAAGCAATGGGACTTTAATGTTGATTTAGGATTAACTCAAAAATCTTCTGACACTGTTGGGTGATAATTGTATTTATCAGAAGTGGCCCAGATGTTAATGGGGATCTTCCACAGCTTTTTTTTGTATTGTTTTAGCTAATGCATTTCCATGCCTGTTTACAACAAAGAGGTGGAGTTTGTAAATGTATAATGTTTGAACCTGATTTCTATTTGCCACAATTACAAAGGGCTTTACTCTTGTTGTAGACTCCACACTGTACCTGGCGGGAGGGGAGTTTCCTGATGGCTCGGCCAGCAGAGAAATGTGGCGCTATGACCCGTGCTTCGACTCCTGGATCGAGATGGCTCCTATGAATGTAGCACGCTCTGAGCTGGGTAGGACACTTGTCACGATTTCCCATAAATTGTCATGTGCAATTTGAAAGTTGTCAAAGAGTTGACTTTTTTAAATTGCATGAGTATTTCATTGGTCTAAATAATATTGAAAATGAAAGGGGTAATGCCCTGGGGTAACATGGGTAACATTTTAAAGCTGTAGCATTTAAAGTAGTTCATTGTATTAGGGCTGCAGCTTTTAGTAGTTAACCAATCAGATAATTAGTCGATTAGTTAAAAGTTTATTTTAAATATAAATGTACATTTTCAGAACATATTTTTAAATATGGTAAATGAAGACTTTTAGAAGGTTTAAGAATATTTACAAAAAAATTAGACTATATTAATGAAAATTAGCATTATTTTTTTCTTTTTTGACATGTTGATAAAAAAATGCCATATCTTTGTTTTAAAAAGTATTTTTGTATGTGTTTTAGAGTCTGCATAGTCTAGATAACGATTACTATTATCGAACTATTACTGCAAATATTTTTTTATAGTTGACTAGTCATGATTAGTCTATTAATCGCTGCATTCACTGTACTATTATACTGTGTTGGTGATGCTCCCTCCTTCACCCAGGGCTGGTCATGCTGGACGGCTTTGTGTATGCGGTTGGAGGGTGGGAGGGGCGCTCACGCTTGGACTCTGTGGAGTGCTACAACCCTCACACAAACTGTTGGCAGTTCACTCAGTCTGTGAAGATGGCTGTGACCAGTCCTGCCGTAGTAGCTCTGGATGGGCTGCTTTATGTTACAGGTATAAATCTCAAGTTAGAGCTTTGATGTTTTGGATGCATCACTATCAATATGTCCCTGAAGGTGGCGCTGTTCTGGAGGATGGTGATGGCACTGATCTGGCTCAAGTGTACAACCCTAAGACGGCCACATGGACAGAGGTCGCTCCCATGCAGATCGCACGCTCTGGTTCGGCAGCATGTACACTCAAAGGGAAAATATATGTTATAGGTAAAGCCATTATGACAAACAACTTTCTTCACTAATTCTTACTTACTACCAATGATTTGTTACTTTTTGTAAAATATGCACTACTATAAATTATCTCAAACATCACAATTTGTACATATGTGTTGTGAACAAGATAAAACAACATGAACATAAAATTGTATATAAATAAATGTAAAATGTTATGCTAGTATTTTCTACCTTGAACTATTTGCTGTGATTTCAGGAGGATGGCATGCATCAACAGAAAACACAGACAAAGTGGAGTGTTACAACCCCAAAACCAACCAATGGACCATGTGTGCGCCAATGAAGGAACGGCGATATCGGCCTGGTGCTGCTGTGGTCGATGGAAAGATCTATGTTCTGGGAGGAGAAGAGGGCTGGGATAGGTACAAAGTTTTTAATGTGTGCTCAGTCATACTAAATACTATTAATGCACTTTTGTAGTCCATTTCTGTATTGCTAGTTTCTTATTGCTGGAGGACATCACAGCATTCTGTAGACAAATAATATTGTGTACAGATGGGTGCAGCTCAAGTTAATATGGTTGAAATTTTGATTTGTGTTGTAATACAGGAAATTTTTATGGGTTGAGTCACCAGTATGAATGAACTGTTAAATACTTTTTTGGATATTTCATGGCAAAGTATAATCGGATCAATAGGACAAAACTGTTTCACATGTGTTTATTTCTTTTTTATTGTAGGTATCATGACACTATTGAAAGGTATTGTGAAGACACAGACACTTGGGAGATTGTTGGAGAGATGCCCACCAGTCGCAGTTGGCTGAGCTGTGTGTCTCTGCAGCTCAGAAAGGACATTCACATGAGCAGCTGTCCTGGGACACCAAATGACTGAAAGACAAAACAAGAGAGAGAATCAAATGAGATCATTTTCTAATGTGTGCCAAGAACACCATGCTACAAGCGCGGTTCTTTGCTGGTCATGTTTACTAACTTATGCTGCCTTCATCTGGCACAATTAGTTGCTGTAAGTGGGACAGCATAGTTCTTGTCTGTTTGAGAGGCAGCTTGTGTGACAGTAGCCAGTCTGGGTCCTTGTTTTGGGAGTGAACTCAAGGAAAAGTTTGGGCCCCAAAGAGCACCAAGTTGCCAGATCAAACCTCTTCTCTGTTAAATGTGAACATGTTCAGAGTATTGTTTATGAATATTTTAGAAAGCCTTCATTTGGTTTTCCAAGCCAGGATAGTGTATTTTTGTATTGTTATTTTATGTGCAGTATGTATCGGGGTGGGGTTGGGGGTGAGTAGTCGCCATTTTTGCCCTGTTAAAAAAAGTGCTTCATGGGCCAATGGATGTGTATGTTTTTGAAGAATAATTGTGAAAATACGATGTGTGCTGCCTGTGTGTTATGTAAAACATTTGTAGCCCATGATTAAATGTTAATATATGTGGAGATTATTTTTGTAATGTGATTTGTCAGTCAGTGAAGTTGGGTTCAAATAAAGATCTAAGTTTAAATTGGTCATTTTATTTTGTATAACAGATGGGAGTGTAGAGCCATAAAATTAGAAGCAAAACCACTATGTTCCAGTTCCTCTTGGTTAAAAATCATTACACAGAAGATATTAACTGTGATTATGTACAATACAGTCACGTAGATGAGACCTGACTTGTCCTCGCCACCTGTGAAATGCCCTACTGTTTTCAAAACACTTTTTCAAAATTAATGTCAAATTTTGGAAACTAAATATTTAATTGCTCAGTTTTTATAATTATTTACCCTCTATATTACAAAATAATACAAGCGCCTTATGTGGACAGGCTTGTCTTCTTCACTCCACAGACCTGATTAGTAGGTATGCAACAATATCCAAATCTCTCGATATGTTTTCATGATATGCATCTCACGGTACGATATTTATTGCGATGTTACAGAATTGTGAATATGCAACTTGTCATAATCCAAATAATTAAGATTTAAAAGTGCTTAATAACAGCTGTTTTATCAAGTAGATAGGACTTAAACAGAGCAAAGGATCGTGGTCTATGTAGTTCGGTCTGTTTTTAAGACGTTCCTGCACCATAACAATGACTTTAAGCAAATATACTTGTAATTCGATATATTGTGATGGCCCACGATATTACTGTGAAACTTTTGACGATACATTATCACGATATTTTGGTTACTGCTACATCCTTACTACTTTAGCCTGTTGGTGAGAGCTGTGTGCCTGTCTTCTTGGTGGTGGTATTGGTCGCCCTAAAACATTCCACAGTATGGCATTAACAATTTTCTATCCCCATAAAGAAAGTTACACCTTAGACATTTTATTTTAAATCGTATCGCTGACTGCCACCGGAAAATCTTAAAACATTTCTCTAAATATACATCTTGACTCGTTTTTTTCTCTTTGATAGGCTGTGGCTCGCAATGCATTGTGGGCACAGAAATCTCCGTCCGCCATCGCTGTCTTTGGAGCCGGTGAAGGAGAGGCGCAAACATGAGAGGAATCCGCTCTTTTAACAGCATCTCCGTGAGTTTCATGCTGCTATTTTCACATTTCTCATTTCTCCGAGACACAATCTTTATCATTTTAGTGTGTCATTCCTCTCAGATTTATTTGATTGCACCAGTGTTGAAAAGTTGTCATGCAAGACACACAGCACAGGCTAATCCAAGTAAACTGTGCATTAAAGACACAACTTTAAAATAAACATTTCCTTTATTTATATAAATTACTTGTTATTTTATCTTGCATTATAACTTGTATTTCTTGACTGTATTTGCTGTAGTCTTTGGTGTTGTGTTGGAATGCATCTGAAGGTCATTTCACTTTTTGCAGTGTTGGATTACTAAATTGTGTCATTATTCTGTCACTCCGTAAGAAATTTTGAGAACAACTAACTGGACACTATGGGAGTGCACTGGGAGGGCCTCTGTACTATATTTATTTACAAGGGTTGTGTCAGGTCACCATATTTAGCTTGGTGCCCACACTTAACCTTGTTTTGCTAATATGCAACTTCATATCAAATCATATCAAATAATCCCTGCAGCCTGCTTTGCACCTGTAGTTTGGACAAACATTCTGAAATGCATGGGATTGTATTAGTTAATCAGTTCATATTTCAGTCTTCTCTTGAGTTAGTATGGATGTAACAATAACCAAGATATCTTGATATTGTCAAAGTTCTTACAATAATATGATGGACCATCACAATATATCGAGTTACAAGTTTCTTTTCTTAAATTAAGAGTTATGGTGCACCAATAGTTTAAAAAAGACAAAGGGAACTACATAGACCATGATCCTTTGCTCCATTTCAGTAGACTACAAGAAGAAATAACAATTCTAAGCACTTTTAAGTCTTAGTTCTTTAGATTAAGTCTTGTCAAAGCATTTGAAGAGGAAAAAAATTGCATATTAGTTTTTTTAGCCTACAAAATATCACAATAAATATTGTACCGTGAGATGTATATTGTGAAAATATCTTACAGAGAGACTTGGATATTGTTACATTCCTAATCGTGAGCCTTCCCTCCATATCAATAAGCAAAAAGCAATAAATATCGTACTGTGAGGTTCATACCGTGACGATATCGTATCGTTACATCCCTATGAGTTAGTGTTGGTGTTGTTTCCAATGTGCACCCTGAACTGAACTCTACTTTTCAGAATCTTATTGAAATCTTATCACAATCCAATTATTTGAGAGAAATTTTTTTTTTTAAATAAATGATGCATCCCTAGTGAAAATGTGCCCTCTCCTCACAGAAACGGTGTTATGCTGCTAGAAGAAGTGGTTCCTTGACTGAACCTCTTGCTTTGAGAATAAAATCTGCAGCAGCTCCTCTCACCCCACAAAATGTCCAGGTAACTGCTGTATACCTCAATACAGTTGCTCACTGAGGACGAGAATTTGTAAACATTCGTTGTTTTTGTTCTTCAGGTCTCCAAACTTCCAAATGGACTTGTTATCGCTTCCCTGGAGAACTATTCACCAATGTCCAGTGTTGGTTTGTTTGTTAAAGCTGGAAGTCGGCATGAGACTGTGGAAAGCCCTGGAGTAGCCCATGTATTACGACTAGCGGCAAATCTGGTAAAGTACTTTTTATGATTTATTTTTTTTCTATTTGTTGTAGAATTATATACACTATGTACTTAATTGTCTCCTTGATTATAACATAATTAATATCCTTTACAGAGTACAAAAGGTTCATCTGCTTTCAAGATTTGTCGTGGTGTGGAAGCATTGGGTGGTAGTCTAAGGTTGGTAAAATGCATCATACATTTTCCTGTGACGATTATGCACAAAGATCTGGCATGTTCTTAATATTAATGCAGTTCTTATATATATATTTTAAAGCTGATAATTTAATTTATGAGCTGTGTAGAAATGTATAACAAAATATTGTTTTCTTCAGGGCTGTAGTCCTTTAGTCGATTAAACGGTCGATGGCGTCTTAGAAAGAAGTGAGTGATTGAGTGAATTAATTTAAGATCTGAAAGTGAATCATGAGTTTAATCTGCCTTTTTCCTCGTAAGTTTTTTGTGTGTAAATAGTTTTGCATGAGCAGGTATCTTATGAGTGCAGTTTGGGTCAGCTACATAGACATACATAATAGTTTTGAGAGCTTTTGCCATGCTCGTGTTTTTAGTTGACTAATCGAGCAGCAGGACATGTCCGTAGTTGACTACAGCCCTACTTTTCCTATCGCTACTTCCCATTCTCGTATTCTCAAACATCAAGGCTCTGTTATCTGGTCTTATCCCCTTGCTTATTCTTTATACTAAATTACTTAAAGTCCTTGATGTGATTTACTTTTTTGTCATTATCAACAGAATTGTGTGTCAAGATTTAAAGGAAAAAGTTTAGTATATTTAGTATATATTTACACACTGTTTAAATTTTGACCAAAGGGGCTTTTAATTCTAAACCTTTCACAAGTTTTAATGATTGCTTTCTTATCTGACCCATAGTGTTACATCGACACGAGAAACCACGGTGTATACTGCACAGTGCTTGAGAGATGACATGTAAGTATACCTCTTCTGATACGCTTCATTCTGTCTGAACATTTTAATTGTATTTATTCATGTGACACAGTTTTACCATTTACTGACATTTGTGTCTCCTATGACTCTGCAGCCCTTCACTTCTGGAGTATTTCAGCCATGTGACCACAGCACAAGAGTTCAGACCCTGGGAACTGGACGATCTGACGGCAAGAGTTAAGATTGATAAAGCTATGGGCCTCAAATAGGTAAATTATTTTCATTTGCTAATTTGGATGATCACTTTCATCAACTTTGACTTGGAAACCATCTTTTGTTTGCCTTTATTGTTTCTATATTTTCTAATGTTTATGTAATGTTGATCCACATGTAGGTGTCATGGAGAAATTGCATGAAGCTGCTTACAAAAATGCCTTGTCCCATTCACTGTACTGCCCTGACTTTATGGTTGGACGTGTGTCTTCTAAAGAGGTATGGGTCTCTTCTAGATAAGTTGCATTTATTTGTTAAGTATAAATAAGTATATGAATAAATATTTTATACACACAACTTTCTTTTTCTCAGATGCATGCATTTGTTCAAGCTAATTTCACAACTGGCAGAATGGCTCTCGTTGGACTAGGCAAGTAATTTTTCCCCAAATCTCAGATAATCTTTTGTACTTTAAATTTACAGTAAAAATCTCTTCTTTTGCCTCAGGTGTCAATCACTCAGTTCTTAGGCAGTTGGGGGAGGGGCTCCTCAGTTCCCGCAGTGGGCCTGGAGCTCCCGTGGCTCGTGCTGTGTACCGTGGAGGTAAGGTTAAAACTTGGGTATTTTAAATGATTTTCTGTACAACATTGCTCACCTTTTGCTGTTGATGTTCACGTAGGTGAAGCCCGGATACACAGCCGTGACGACCTGGTGCACGTGTTGGTGGCCAGTGAAAGTGCTGCGCTTGGGGCTGCGCAGGCGAATGCATTCAGTGTCCTGCAGCATGTACTTGGGGCTGGCCCACATGTGAAGAGGGGCTCAAATATCACCAGCAAACTGACCCAGGGCATTGCCAAAGCCACCTCACAGCCATTTGATGTAAGATTCTTCTGTTTTTTCATTGATGTTACTTTAATGAGAAGTAAGGTGGTAGCACTTGGCTTTGAACATTCATTTGGAGAGGCTGAGGCCTTTTTAAAAAGACTAAATTTTTATTTTATTTTTTTAATGTACGCAAGTACATATTTATTTTATATATTATATATATATATATATATATATATATATATATATATATATATATATATATATACATATATATATATATATATATATATATATATATATATATATATATATATATATATATATATATATATATATACAAAATTGTTTCATTTTGAAAATGTTTCTTCTTCTACTAGAAGTGACAACAAAACCTTTATTATTTTTCTGCAGGCATCTGCTATGACTGCTTCCTACTCTGATTCTGGCCTTTTTGGAGTGTATACCATCTCACAAGCGGCTGCTGCAGGAGAGGTAACCACCAATTTGTTTTTTCTCAAAACAATCATGACAATACAGTGATTCAAATTTTTCAGCAAATCTAAATTAACTTTTCATTCTTTATTTTTGATGCTTCCATATGTTAGTGTATGTTGTACTTGCTGTATATTTTGTTATATGTGTTGCTTTGTGGTGTTCATAGGTGATCAGAGCAGCCATTTCTCAAGTAAGAGATGTGGCTGAGGGCAATGTAGCTGATGCTGATATCAGCAGAGCAAAGTAAGTTCAGCTTTGACCGTACCAGGTTTGTACAGTGCTGAGTGACCTTTAACGACTGAATACTGTCTTCACAAAGGAACCAGGTCAAGGTGGAATATTTGATGTCCCTTGAGGACTGTGAGGGTCTCCTGCAGGAGATCGGAGCTCAGGCCCTGATGACTGGGACCTATCAGGCTCCTGACGCTGTTCTGAAGGCAGTTGAAGCTGTCACACCAGAGGATGTGATCAAGGTGAGCATTGATGCTTTGTTTCAAATCTCACAAAGCAAATGTGCAAGATTCAAAATGGCCACTTATTAAAATCTGTTTTAGGCTGCAAAATCCTTCGTGGATGGCAAGAAAACTATGGTTGCCAGTGGACTCCTTGTCAATACACCATTTGTGGATGAATTATGAGAGAAATCTGTCATTTTGACATCAAGCCTGTCTACTTGTTTAAATTTTAAGGACCTCAACTAAAAGGAACAACAAATCATTCACTGTCAAAAATGTATTGTGTCCAGCAGTAATCCCTATTGTGATGCTGGAGTAATGCAATTTAACTTTGACATTTTTTGTTTTCACTGTATCTATGTAAATTAAAGTACAATTATAACATCTACTGAAAACATATTGTGAGTATAATATTTTGTCCAGATCCCTGAATCTTTGTGCTGACCTTTTAGTCCTTATAAGTATAATTGCACATGTAAACCAGTAGAGGGACCCAAAGGCGTTCTTTTATATCAGTCTTGTTAGACGTATATTTATTTAGTAATTATTTTATATAGCTTGCAAAGTCAAAGTTAGTTAAGTTCTCAACAATTCTATATAATAAATATAATTGGGCTTTTATCTCCATGTACGTGGGTTAATTGCCTTTACACCTCACACATTCTGTATGTATATTATAATGGGTAATCCCAGTTTTTAAAATTAGACATACAGGGGTCAGCGTGACCCCCACTTTTGCGGTTCTCGCGAGAACAGCGAGACCCCCCCGCTGGGCGAGAGTTCAGAGCTGTGTTTGTGTGCGGTTGTGCGTCGCTCGCTGCGTGGGGGGAACTCGCCTGATGTCATTTGGTCAAGAGGCAGGCTGATGTAGCGGTGAGCACACCAAGCAAAAACAATAATACTGCCTCATAAACCACATGAGGATTATAGAGGGGTTTCGGATTTGAAAGAGAGATATCGTCGCCGCGGCCCGAGGAGGAGGTGGGATGAGGAGCTGAGCTGCTGCTTAGCGGACTGAAGGACCAGATGCTTTTCCAGCAGCGAAGGGAAGTGGACTCTAACCAGAAAGACATGGTGATGGGAGCTTGTTTTCCAGACGGATAACGCACTTGTTAGACCGTAAGGATTGGGCGCAGAAAGGTGCGAAGTGTTGGGTTTGTTTGCGCCACGGCTCGATTGTCCGAGATGTGGAGCTGCCTGTGGGCCGCAGCTCGGCTATGTAGCTCTCCGCTAGCCGCCGCAGCTACGCCTGATGCTGGCGCAGCCGCTGCCCGTGGCACACCGATCTAAAGGACAAATCAACCGGTTAGGGGCCTTGGTGCGTTGAGGATCTTTTGTTTCCCACTGGACTGCGAAGAGCAACTGAGATGTGATGTTTTGGGTGCTTCTTTTGGGCCCTTTACATTTGGGGGCTCCAGACCCGGACTTGACGCAAAGAAGCTAGTGTTGCTGCAAAATGCACAGCAAAGACCCAGCAGCGGGCTCTTGTTAAAGGGGGCGAGGTTGAACTGAGAGCACCCGGCCTGCGTCCCCAAGCTCCGAGGTTAACTTTGGACAACCATTGCCTCACTCATCTGCCTCATTTACCCACTATCATTTGACGATATGGATAAACTCACGATCATTTCAGGGTGCCTGTTTCTGGCTGCAGATATCTTTGCAATTGCCAGCATCGCAAACCCAGACTGGATCAACACGGGTGAATCAGCAGGTAAATGCACAGATCGTGTTATAAACTGTTAGAATTGTTGTAGTGTCATATACCATAAATAACCGTATATTGAAGCGACATTTGCCTTGGGAGAATCGGCACGACACTGCACGGTCTATTGTCTGCGGGCTATTATCGACATCATCTTTTGTCCCTCCGCCGTGTTTTCGCACCACCAACCATATCCTGCACCACGTGACCAGTCTGTGTCCTAACGCTGTTATAACATGGAAATCAGCCACTGTCTCCAAGAATCATCACTATCCTTCATTTGCATATATTTACATAAACAAAGATTTAATAACACAAGTACAATTTCCTGTACATTTTGTCATTTTAGTTTTATATTAAATGGGGTCTTGAAAAGGGGGCTTCCTCAAATAGTAGCAAAAGTGGGGCAAATTGGACAATGTGGTGGGGACACAGTGGGACTAACATTATAGGTGTAAGGCAGGACAGTCAAAGAATGATTTTTGTTTTATTTTTTTTACGAGGAATACTTGTGTTAATCTGTTTTCTTTCAGTCTGTTTTTATACCATTCATGTGGCACTAGTCTAATAAAAAGATTGGACTAAATAAGTAGTGGGGACTAAACTGCAGTAACAACGAAAAGATTATCACTCTAGTCTTGAAAAGCTTTATAAAATGTCCATTATTTTAGTTATTACTTTATTTCGCTGCCTAAACTAAATCAAATTGTTTTAAGTAAATTGCCTGTGATATTGTTGTGTGTTGATTGATGTTGTGGTAGTGACTGTGGGTAAACCGCAACTGACTGATTAACTTCTCACTTCTGTTCTTAATCAGCTTTCACTGTGGCAGCCATTTAAGGTTCACCTCCTCCTCAACAAGAACAAATTATTCAAATACTTTTTAGAAAATTTTACTATATTTTGAGAAAATCAGATACTTGTCGAAACTAGATACTCGTTTGAGCAAGTATCGATACTAAAAATTCACATTGACAGGACAGAAATGAACCATTATTGAACAGCTTTAAAATGATTTTAAGTTGTATCAGAACATGTACATAAAACTGCACAGACTAGTATATGCCCATGGACCACTGAGGGATTAATAGGCCATATGGTAATACAAATGAATATACGACAATTGTAAGAAAGTACTTATTACTGTATAAATAGTGTTTTGTTTTTTTTATTACCATTGCGGTATCGGAGTCTGTATTGAGTCTATTCATTAATATCGAAACAACAGAGTTCAGAATTTTAGTATCGTGACAACACTAGATTGAGATCATAGCACTGTTTTATTTCATGTTTACATTTCATCTTGGACAAAATCTTTGATCACTGAAAGTATTGGCAGCCAATTGAAATTTTCTTCCCATACTCCACAAGTTTGATTTCAGTGTTCAAACTGAGTATTTCACCCTCTTGCTGTGAATATATTGTGTAGTTAAGTGCAGAGTCAGTTTGAGGTCTCTTGTGTTTCTGGGTTGTTTTTGTTGTCCACAGTCAAACCCCTGGTGTCTAACAACCTGCTGTGGTCAGACCTCTCCTTTGTTCACATGAAGCGTGGAGAAATATAGGCATCTACCTCTGGGCTGTGTGGTCTATTAAAAGCTGTTGATATCTTGAAATGGTGTAGCTACTGCTTTTGAGTTGATCAGACCAATTTATAATGTTGCAGTACTGATTTGTTACATGTATTCACCAGTAGCTGAAAATAAACAGGACTAAGGCTGATTGATTTGGGAAAATATACTACATCTTGTTAAATATTCTAAATTTGTATAGTGTAGGACTGCAACTATAAATCAACAAAATTAGGACTATGTGTTCATAACTGTATTTTGATAATCATAATCGTTTATATGGACTATATGGACTCGAAACATATACCTTAGACCTTTTTTTTTTAACAAAGTATATACGGTAACATAAATATTCACTATTTAGAAGCCGTTAATAGGGGCGTAACAATATCCAAGTCTCATGATACAATATCGTCACTGTACGATATTTATTGCGATTTCATGGGAAAGCTCATGATATGGTGGGGAGGTTCACGATTAGGGATGTAACAATATCCAAACCTCTCAGCACGATATTTTAACGATATACATCTCACAGTACGATATTTATTGTGATATTTTGTGGAGGCTTACAAGACTGTTAATATGCTATTTTTTCCTCTTAAAATGCCTTGACAAGACTTAATCCAAAGAACTAAGACTTAAAAGGGCTTAGAACTGTTATTTCTTCTTGTAGTCTACACTGAAATGGAGCAAAGAATCATGGTCTATGTAGTTCCCTCTTTTTTTTTTTTTTTTTTTTTTTACCTATTCCTGCTCCATAACTCGTAATTTAAGCAAAGAGACTTGTAATTCTATATATTGTGATGGCCCACGATATTATTGTGAGAACTTTGACGATACTATATCATGATATGTCGGTTACTGTTACATCCCTAGCCGTTAATCATCATCATATTGTCTTTATGTGGTTGATAAAATATTTAAAAAGTCTGAACGTACAATAGAAATGACTAGACTAAAAACAATTACTGACTAGTCGATTAAGATTAAATAATTAAAATATTACGATTATAGTTGCAGTCCTAAAATAGTGGTTTGACTAGACCCTCTAATGATCAGACTATTGAGGAAAAATGTGCAGTTTTGCAATGTATTCAACCTAAATGAGGACTGTGTGTTTATTAGTAATGTTTGACTACAGAAAAGAGTGAGGACATAGTTATAATCACACATCGTCACATTCCCAGTCTTTGTTTTGTAGAGGTGACACCCAAAAGCTGTGACTCTCATCAGTTACTTCAGAGAGATGTCACATTTGCTGTTATCCTTGGGCAGACCTTGGATAACCTTTTCTACACACTTTGCATACAGATGTCTCAGTAACAGTGCCACTACCTAAGATTAGCTAAATAAGTACTTGAAGGTGCTATATAATTATGAGTTACTGTATGTTTGTAACTTAAAGAGCCCATATTATACTCTTTTTTGATCTATGTTGTAAATAATGTTGTTTCCTCATCAAAAACAAACCTGGAGTTGTGTTTTGTTTCATTTATACATGACATCACAACCATTTTGAGCTTTGGGGATGTAGACAGACTAATACTAAGGGATTGCTCAGACATGTGTGAATGAAACAACACGCTGCTCCAGGTATGTTTTTAAGGACGTAACATAGCTTTAAGCTCACAAGAGTCAATTTTGCGTAAGACCTTTTAAAGTAGAGCAACCCTTGTGAGACCTATTTCAAATACCTCTTTCTAAAGCATAAAGATCTTCTGAAAACGTGGGGAAAGCAGGAACTAGCTGAAAGAGGTGCAATGTCAGCTCTTCACTGTGGTCAGAAAGAAGGAAGCTGCACTACAACTTAAAACTGGAGCTCTAAATGTGATAATTTACTTGGAAGTGCAGAGGACAGTGCTGTAATTAGTGCTTGACTCCTCTGTCTTGTGAGTGAGACTTGAGAAAAGCAAAGCCCTCACGTCAGCTGTCTAATTGTTGTGAGCTTTTAATGTGAGCCCAGTGTCAGTTTCAAGTGCAGGGTTTTTGTGTGTCTGGCTAAATAATACGGGAGCAAAGGAGATGTCACGTAATTATTTGTGTAGCCACCTTTTTGCCAATGGCCGATAAGCTCCGCCGATGTTTTTGGACCGATATGCAGGGAATGATTTTGATTATTTTCCTTCAATTCTGTAATTTCACTTCACTACAAACTCACCCCAGCCCTTTTTTTTTTTTTACCACAAACCTTTAAGAGAACTGTGCGGTCACATTTTGTGCAATTCTCCTCTTCATATTAAAGTATTACTATAAAATGTTGTACATATTTTTAGGCAGCAGATTGACCAAAACGAAATATCGGCCTGTGCTGGAGATTTAAGGCCCCTAACCAGTATGTTGAAACTCCAAATATCAGCACGATGTATTGGCCAACCGTCTATCTCTATAATCAGATGATGCCCACCACTATAAAAAATAAAATAATAAAATAAATACTTTGCTAACCTTTTATTAACCATTAGGAAGTTTGTATGGATGTAACGAAAGCTTAATGCAAATTTTGGTGTTTGTTCTGTAGCATCTAACCTCTCACAACGTCTCATAGTTCTGCAATGCCACTTACTGCAACAATCTCTTCATCACTTGATCCCCTCCTATCTGCCACCCACTGCGGTTCATCTGAGGAAGAATATGGTCAGAAACCAAAATATTCTGCAAGATCCGGGACATCTCCACAACTGATACTTTTAATACTTTCTTCTATGGGATTTTCCTCACAAATAACAAATGTTGTGTTTATTTTTAGATTTCCCTTTTTATTCAGAACTGTACACACTGCACACTACACCGGTGTGGTGAGTATTGTATGTGCTAGGACAAGTAAAGACATCACCTTGACCTATGACATAGAAAATGGCAGCAGTGTTTTGCTCACTAGGATGTGATGTTAGAGAAACCATTGTTCTTGCTGTTACCTGCTGAAATCAAAGCTCTTCATATGAATGTGACCACAGCCTTGTATCCACACTGAACTTGTTTACCTGAATGTAGTGCAGGAATATTGCGTGACTGGCGGCTGTCAGGAAGGAATTTCACTATGAACCAGTGGAACAGCAGGAGGCCAGAAGATCCTGTGGAAATAAGTCGTAAAACAGTGCTATTAACCAAAGCCATCAGACCCAAACACCACTTTATTTAAAGCTACCTTTTGCAAATACACAGTCTGAACTACTTAGTGCAGCTTTAGAAAAGGGCTCTTTTTATAGTAGCTATTCAGAGAGTCGTGAGTCTCTGACGTCCTATGGTTTCTTTTCCATTGTTAATGTGCTTTAAGTTGAAGTTACAGAAGGAATGATGCTGACAGAATAAAATGATGCTCACACAGCTTATCTAAACAATATTACAATGTAGTGTAATACTGGTAATAATTATACATTTTTCTCTAAAATACCATTAGTGTTAAATAGTAATTAATTAATTACCTGTGCTTTATTGAATCAAGAAGAATGTAGCTTATTCAACATGGTTGACCCTAAACTAAGCAGTGCCTCAAGTTATGTTTGACTTTATGCTAATTTAATCTGCTCTTCAAAAACACAAAAATGGCTTTTATTTAGTAAGGCTATTCCTAAATTTTAGCATGTAGAAATGTTGTCATAGCAACACTTGAGCACTGCATCTCAAATGAAGCTGTCGGGAGCTATTTTTATTCTCTGGCTGTTTCCTCTTGTTGGCTATACAGTGGGCTTGGACTGCCACTATAAAGTTACACTAAATAAAAGCAAAATAAATTACACAACTTGTCAATATCCCTAAATAATCTCAACACTTTTTAGTTGCTTTTATAAGATACACAATGCATTGTTAAAATCATTTCAGTTTGGTAGGTATAAAATAATAATTTAATATTCCTGATAATTTTACGGTCTCAGTGATGTGTCAGATAGTTCACTGTTCAACAAAAGGATCTCGTTTCTGCCTTCCAAGGGGAATGTAATAAAAATTGCAGGCTAGCAGACCATTTTAAGTGGCAGACAGGGGTTCCGGGTTAATTGTTTTTCTTTGCAATTAACATTTTTTTAAACAATCTTCAGACTCTCCCCTCTTTAGCTTCAAACCCTTTTCTCATGTGCTCCTTGTTATGGCTTGGGCCTCTTTTGGGGAAGGCCTGTGAAGTGATGGGGATCTGCTTACTCAGGTAGAAGTCCATTTTGGGCCCACTGTTTAATTAGATGGCATCTCTCCAGAGAAGCTGCTGCCCAAGAGAAAAGTCTGCCTACTCTAGCGACATTTATTCCCCTCATTTTAATGGCTTTTGACTCTGATTTGTTTACATTTTGATGATCGCTTATTACTTGAATTTCTATTGGTCCCTTTTAGCAGGTGTAACAATTTTACTTTTTCATTCATTCATGGAGAGAAAAGTGTAGGCAGATGTTTGAAAATAAAGCTATGAACCATGTTTATACAGATGATTGTACAAAATATGCTTGCCTGTGTAATTCACTCCTAAAGACCCGTTCATTTGTAAGTGTAGCTATAGATTTAATATACCGCAGGAGAGGATTGGTTGTAGACATCTCTATTATAAAGCCCCCCCAAGCATATCTCAAAATAATGCTCAAAACCCCCCCAAACAACTCGGCATTAGTGATTTAATGCATAGTAACGCAGTAATAGTAGTGAATATAAGAAAAATGTTGAAAATATATCTTTCACGTGTTCATAAGCATCTCCCCTTTGTGCCTTAGGTGCTTTGACGGTTGGTCTGGTCCGGCAGTGTCAGACCATCCATGGGCGTGACCGCACCTGCATCCCCCCGCGGCTGCCTCCTGAGTGGGTCACCACGCTCTTCTTCATCATCATGGGCATCATCTCCCTCACCGTCACATGTGGGCTACTGGTGGCATCACACTGGCGCAGAGAGGCCACCAAATACGCCCGCTGGATCGCCTTCACTGGAAGTAAGTGTTGAGTTTAGGCAGCCTGTACTGTACCTGCCTGGAGGAGCTTTGTCTGGTATTGCTGTAAATTGATTTGATTTCCTGTACATGCTTGTCAGATCAATCATAGCCAAGGGGCGATGTTTTGGAGTATAACCTCTAAGTGAAGCGGATCAATTGTTGCTACTCCACACTACTTGTATTTAAAAGGATGGTCCTCTATTACTCCATAACCACTGACAGCTCTAAAAGATTTCCTTTAAAAATACATTTCTGCCATCCTTGAGTTATGAAGAGCCAGCTACCCCAGGATTTGATAACATTTGTGAGAACTAATAAAGGCTGAACTGCTGAACTAACACAGAATTCCCTTGTATTTCAGAACATTATTGCTGAGGTCTGATTTACAGGATTAGCAAATTTTATTGAAGTATTCAAGTTGATTTCACACATCTTCGACTGTTTGAGAAAAGTGTTGTTGTGCACAGTCAGATGGATATGTTTTTCTGCTGGCCCTTTATACCCCTGGAGCTGAAATATTCTCTAATGCTGCTCCTCTGTCACCTTGTGGGCGGATGGAGTGTGATGTTGTTTTCTTTCTATGCTCCTTGAATATGGGCTTCATTTCTCCAGTTTCTGCAAAGCCACACTAGAAAGAAGCACTTAATTCTTGAACTCTCCCCTTTTTTGCATGTTATTAGAGACAGTTTTTGTCTGTAGACTTTATTGTATATCCCTGACTAACCAGTCACTTCTTTTACCTGAGATAAGTAAGAGTTTTATACTTTGATTGTCGATTCTTTAAAAATCAGTGG